ACCTGAGGACAAGATGGGGCTGCTGTTTTACTTACACTGCAAAAGTGGTGTCTGCAATCTCGAGTCACTGCCACTGCCACAGCATGAGGAGCCTCTGAAGGAGTGCTTCCCAGCTCTCCTGACACAAACCAGCCCATTTTTGATGCTCAGCTGCTGCGGTGCCCGGGCGTGCTGCCTCCCTGCAGGGGCTCGAGCTGCCATCCCACCTGCGAGAGGCTGGCAAACATTGCCCTGCTGCCAGGCATCTGCAGGGAACCTTGTGCTGCAAATTTCCTCCCTTCTCTCTGCATCTGAGAGTCACTCATCTGGAAGCACCCTTGGTGCTGGCAGGTTTTCATCTCCTCTGTGACTAATCTGGAGGTTCGGTTGAGTGTTAATATTGCTTATCATTTTGACTTGGTGGTGAAAATAAGTTTTGTTGTGGTTCCTTTTCCTGCATGCAACTGTGTCTGGAGCAGCCCAGCCATGCACAGGGGCCCTTGTTAGATGCAAGTTTGATTGATCCTCACCCACTGCCTGCTCCTCTGTGCCTCCACCAAAGGGTGACTTTTCTGGTGCCAAGAATTTGTACAGCAATATAGCTGAGTTCACCACCCAAGAACTGTGAGGGCCTGTGCCAATTTTTTAATTGTATTTTTCTGGCAGATAGCCACAGCTTGGTCTTAAGAAAAAGAAGTCAAGTACTTCTAGCTCTCAAGCCTCTGTTAATCTGTTGTGGAGCAAAGCTTGGAAGTACAGCTGGACCTTACTTTGCTTAACTGAGGTGGGGAAGAGAGTACCCAGACTGCTGGGGTAGAGGGAGGAGTGATGGAAGCCAACAGATCAACGCTGTTTTGCAGGAGTTTGAGAGACCCTGGGTGTGGAAGAGCTGCTTTGGACATTCACATGTCTGAGCTGGGAGGATGGTCCTTTTGCAGGCTGGAAGTTACTTTCAGCTTGTGCTGAACAACAGAGGCTCCTGTCAGACAAATCCATGATTTTTTGACCCTTGCAAACAGGTCTGACTGAACAGCTGAGCATGAGCTGAGTTTCACTGCATTACCCTTGTGGGAGAAACTGAGGCCCTGGGTTATGCTGGGGAGTGCCAGAAGCTGCAGTCAAGACCTGGCAAAACTCATTGCATGGCAAAAGCATGATGGCAGGATAATCAAATTCTCCCACATGCAAAACATGTACCATCTTCTGGATGATTTATTTGCTATTTTACAAATCTGTTTTAGATGTAGCCTCTACAGTCTTGTCTCCACTTGTGGGGAGGAGGGTTTATTTATCATCCTGAATTTCCTGCAGCACATGGAGCCTATTCGGGTGCCATCTGCCTTAGATGCTTGGCCCTTGGCATCTCCAACACAAATTAATTGCAAAGATATGTTGCACCAACACAGTATTTCAGGCAGGTTGACTGGCTGGTTCAGTGACTCTTTACCACCCTCCATAACAAGCACTTATTTTCAAAATTTTATTTATTAGGAGTAAGCTGGGACATGTACAAGCCAGTTCCTTCCCTGACAAATGCCAATAGACAATCGGTTGTCCCCCAGGAGTGTGTTTGTTCCTGCAGGAGAGCAGAGCTGGATAGCCTTGCAGAAAACCACATGTTGTAGGCAATGAGAAGCAAGGGCCATGGGCTTGCAGTGGCAGCAAACATGGCAACAAAGCCTAATCAATATTTACTGGCATGCAGCTGGGGGTGAGAGCTATTGTCACAGTAGGGAAGAACCAAGGCAGGATCCACAATGCTGGGTGCCAAAAGCCAGGAGGAGCAGCTCAGACACAAAATGGTATAAGGCCGATGGGAGGGCTGGGTGGAGGACAACAGCCCAGCTTTTTTTGGCCACTGCACACAGTTGTGCTCAAGTGCTGCTCAGTGGAATAGCTGGGGTATTTTTTTACAGCATTTTTTCTGGAAAGCAGCACTTTGCAGCCCAGTGGGTGTGAACCAGATCCCCACAGCAGGTTGGCACTCAGCTGGTGTCTGTATACTCACTTTCATTGCGGGCTGATGTAGGGGGCTTTGCAGAGAGAAGAGAATTAGTTGATACTCCACATGGTTTCCTAGGGCCAGTGCAAAGCTTAGGAACAGTAAACTCTGTCCAACTTTAGCAGTTCAATGCAACAAGCTTCTGATGTTCTTCTCTACCTCAGGAGGAAGATGTCTCCCTTGCTGTGGCAGCTGGATTTGCTTTCCCACTTGTGATATAGACACAGACAATTGGCTCCTAAATGCTAAAGAAAATCAGGGCATTGTCTTATGAATGCAGCTGTTCCTCCGTGGATGGGGCTTATTCTGAAGAAGAGGAGCCAGGTGTAAATCTTTTGGCTTGGTTATGCACCTGCAGCAGTCAGAACAGGCTGTATACAGCAATATTTCAATCTGGAGCAGAATGAGTACAGAGAAAACAAGAAGGGATCCTGTAAACCTGTGAACAGCTAGGGAGGTGGATATCCAAGCCCCGAGCCTCCAGAGGGCTGCATGTGCCAGTACCATGTTCTGTTTGAAGACTGCAGAATCACAGAATGGTTGAGATTGGAAGAGACCTCTGGGGATTATCTGGTACAAAGTCTCTTGGTGAGAGCCAAGACACAACTTCCTCCTAATCTGCCAGAGTCTTGGAGGGTTTCATTGGATTTGATTTGATACAGATAATTTAATAAGTAATACTTCTACTGTAATTCTGCAAATACAGAGATAGTGGCTTTATAGCACTTTTAGAGACTCTAAGTAACTTAATAGCCATAGCCATTGAGAAAAAGCTCTAAATTATGCTCAGTTTAGAAATCCAAATCTTGGAAATACTGCCTTGTTTTTACATTCAGGATATTTTCTGTACTGCATTTCAGCACAGAGTAAATTAGCAGTGGCATGAGAAAGATTTGGAAAGAAAAATGCAGTAGAATTTGTAATGAAATGGCAAATCCCAGCTTAAAGCTGTGACAATCACACACACTAGCAAAAAGGATCTTGTCCTCCATCAAGTGCTTCTTTTTCCAGCCCCATGGTGCAGCCCCATCTCACATTCTGCCTCTGAGACACAGGGACAAATGGGTGGTTTAATCCAATTTATCCACCCAGACAAGAAATAATGTTCCCCTTCCCTGTGGTACAGCAAGTCCCATCATGGATTGTATGCTTGACTTTCCTCAATCCACAGCTTCCAGTCATGTTTGTACATGGTTTTCCAATACCAGTCTTGACTTGTCCTTCAGGTGGCAAATTGCCTCATCACTTTTTTCCAAGCCTCAGCCACATGACCAAACAGAGGATAATCCCCACCCTTACTCTCTGGTTGCCTCAGTTTTTCTTGGAGGACTTTTCCAAAGTATTTCCAATCTTGGTTAGAGCAATAAAAGGGGCTTCACTGATCTGCAGCATTCAGTGGTGGGCTTGGTTGGAAATAATTCATCTGAAGTATATGTGGAGAAAAAGGGTTAAGAAATAAAGTGTCAATGATGAGAAGCCTGTAGGTCTTCTAGAAGTATGAGATCACTCTTACATGAGAGTGCTGTAACTCTTATGCATTAAAAAATCCTCAATTATTATTAAGATGGAAATAATACAAATCATTATTCTAAAATAAAGCTGTTTGGGCTTGCAAAATTCTCATTCAGATAGTGAGAAAAGGTAATTTAAAGCTTACCAAGCAAACATAATCATTCTGCACAAGTTTGTAGCCTAGCTTCAGTAAGGGAAGGTTCCTGGGGAAATGACAAGTGTAATTAAAACCTGTCTCATCATGTGTGCACACAGGAGAGGTGGGCAAGCTGTGATGGTAATTGTAACTGCTCCTAGCAGGTGTTTTTCTGTTAATATGAGGTATTAAATAACCATGTTTACCAACCCAAATACTCTCCTGTATGCTTCTATGCACTCTTTCCCCTACAATACTTGATAGTTCCCAGGCAACCCCAGTATTGTGAGGAGACTACATGGGTTTTTATGACTTTTATTTCAAGTTCATTTGCTATTTGCTGCCAAAATTTTCCCAGGGAACGCAGACAAGGAGTGGTAAATGGTGATTAATTTAGACAGCCTAAGTAGAGGACTCACGACGGCTCCCCATGTAATACAAGAAAGTTAACGGCTTGCTGATGTCCTTTTGTCAGGGAATTGTGTAGCCTGGTTGTTTAATGGAGTGTTTAAAATTTGTGTTGGCAATAGCCTATGAATAATGTATTATGAAATACCTTACTGCCAAGAAACTGCTGATATGCTGGGGAAATTTCCATCAGATGTGAGAAAAATTTTCAAGGCACTGTCTTCTTGGGATGCCCTTTATTTATAGCCTCATTGCTTCAGAGGTTGCATTCCCTTTTTAGATACTGCATGTGAAGATGCTCTCCACTGCATCTGCCTCTGTATTCCAACTCCACCTGACTCCATTTGCTTGTAAAAGCCCTGGAATTTTTACGAGATTAGGCTTTATCACCTGAGCACTGTAACCATGGAATATTTCCTGTGCAATCTTCACATGTTCTAGGTATCTGCACCAAGGCACCCTGCATCAAAGGAAGATGCACACTGGTCATTACGATGTCCCATGATGCAGGAAGCAGAAAAACGGTCAAGTTATTTGGGACAAAAAACCAAAACAGACAAGTTGGACTTAACAGTGTGAAATCAGTTTGGATGCCTCTAAATTTTCTGGATTTTTTGGATGCCTTCTAATTTTCTCCAGTGCAGGAGGCCTCTGTGTGCTTTGGCCATGAGCAGTGGGAAGTTTTTATGATACATAGCAAATAGATCTTGCTTGACCAAAGAAATGAGAAAAATGAGGGTGAACCCTTGCTTTCAGGGGAGCTCTGGGGGTTGCACTGCCTTAGGTGCAAGAGGAAACAGGCCTCCTCTAAGACTCTAGGACATAGCTCAGGCAGGCATGGAAGCAGTTACAGTCTTTTCCTTTGCTCCTTGTTTTCCCCCTCAGCTCTTCTGAGGGGGAAAATCATATATATAAAAATCATAGCTTTGTTTCTCACGTGGAGTTTTCCCCACCTGCGCTGAAATGCAGAAAGGAGGGCAGGTGATCACAATATATATCACTGTGCAGAGTGGTCTCAGCTGTTTGTCAAGAGCAGACCCAGCTTGTGGAGCCCGTAGCTCTGTGCCCTGCCCCTGCTGTGGTTTTGTTAGGAGTAGCCAAGTGCTCGTGCTGCATTTTTGTGTCTCTATTTACGCAGCAGAGCCCTGAGTCAAAACATTTCCTGCAATGTGGGTACTGTATTATTAGTGTAATGCTAGAACAAAGCCACACAAAGTTGATGTTGGTATTAGTCAGCCAAGGAAGTGACATCCTCACCTGGGAGGTTGATGTGTTGGGCTTTGATGCTCGTGATGCCAACAGCAAGCTCCAGGCATGAGGCTACAGGGCAGGGGAAAGAATAGCTTAGGAGAGAGGTTGTATCCTCAGGGTGATCTGCAACTGGCTAAGCAGGAGGATTTGTGAAAATGGGAGAGATTTGTGCCTTTACTGGTTTGTTTGCTGCTGGGATGTATCTGGTGATGCTCTATTTTCACAACTCCTGGAAAGGTGTATATAAAAGGGGTTAGCCTAAACACAAGATAGGTGAGAATGAGCACCAGAGGAGTTTGACTAATGGCTTAAATATTTTCAATTGAACAAATAAGGAGAAAAGGTTCTAAAAACTTCCTCCAAATCCACCACCCAGAGCTCATCCTGCCAACTGAGAAGTGTTTTCAGCGGAGAGGGTCATAAAGGTCTAGGCAGAACATCATGGTCAAGTTCAACGAGCATTTCTTGGGGCAGGAATACTGCCAGCTGACAGTATATGGAAAAGCAACTTTCAAAGGAAAGGGGCCAGTTCTGTTATGAAGTTTATTCCACTGATGCTTCTGATGATCCTATTAATTTCTCATTTTTTAATGTTTGTTTTCTTTAGGTGAAGAGTGAAGGCCCCAAACTGGTCCCCTTCTTTAAAGCCACTTGTGTGTATTTTGTCCTCTGGCTGCCAACTTCTAGCCCCTCTTGGTTCAGTGCCCTCATTAAATGCCTGCCCATCTTCTGCCTGTGGGTTTTCCTTCTGGCTCATGGGATAAACTTCTTAGTGTCACACCGGAGTGCCAGCCGCATCCTAGCGGGACTCATATTCTCGGCAGTGGGAGACGCCTTTCTCATCTGGCAGGAGCAGGGCTACTTCATTCATGGTGAGTACAGTGTCAGTCCTAAATGGAGGCTACAGTGCCCAGCTGTTACCCTCTTTATTTAGTAATGAGTTGCTGGGACACATGTTTTGTTTATTCATGTACAGCTTAAGCCCCAGGCGCTGGGAAGCACTCATCCCGTGACTAAAATCCATCATGGTTTGAGGAATCACATAATGGATGAGTCTTGAGCTTCTCTTGAGGTTAGGGAGGTAATTGGGTCAGGTTGGGTTTCCTGGCATGTGTCACAGCATCTGGGCTGGATGGAGTTGGGAAGGTGGCATGCCAGCATCCCTTGGGAAGAGAAGGAAATGCTTGTGGCACTTGTCAGTTCCCATGAAGCTATGGGAAGTATTTACCTCCTGCTTCTCTCCAGGGAGATCTGTCAGCCCTTTGCTGTGAGGACTGGGGATGGAACATACTATGCAAAGATCCTCAGTGGAGAACAGGTGGAGAGGACATTTATGTTTTGATAGACAAGCCCTTAGCCTGGGGGAGGCATGAAGTGGATGACAGAAACCAAAGCAGCAGCAATCTTGTCCTACTTGCAGGTTTATCAGTGTGAATCATGCAGCCTGTTGTACAAGACATAATAATCTGTTTTGTGGAACATTTTAATGATGGTAAATCAAGGACAAACCTTTCTGCAGTGGTCATGTCAGAGAAGACATTCTCTACAGAAAGATCCACATCTCTCAGAGCAAAATGAGCTTGGTTTATTTTGCTAGTTTGCAGACTGGAACGTAATGATTCAGAATTATCATTTAAAGCCACGTTGAACCTGCCTGCAGCAACTCCCTCCCTGGCCTTGGACTGTCACAAGAAATCAGCAGCAGTTGAGTCCTTCACTGAACTGACTGGTGGGGTTTCTGAAGTTAATTTAACCAGCACAGGGATCTCACATAACACCCACTATTAACTGGCTGCTGTGACTGTCCCACTAGAAAATGTGATGAGATGAGGGAACTTTCATGACTTGTGTTGTTGTCAGCTCTGAAAGCCAAAGGTTTATTTTTTCCCCTCTCTCATGAGGTTAGCATTTAATTTTATTCTGGGATTCCCACAAGCTATTTCTTTACGAGAAGGAAGTGTGTGCAGTGCCAGATATGAAAGGCCAAATGCTCTGAATCTGGTTTTAATCCTGCTTCCCATGGGCTTATCCCCATCCCATTAAAAGTTCATGTAAAAATGTTTATGCATTTGGTGTGGTTTGGATTAGGCCCTGAGGATTTGATCTATCTGGCTGAACCTTGGGCATGTTGCTGAGGAGCTCCAGCTTTCTTGAGGTGCCATCCTTTCTGTGTTGAGTGCTGACATTCCCACCAATGGCCTCCTCCCAACAGGAGTACCTGGCTCAGTTGCCTCAGCCCAACTGGTTTTGCCTCCTGGAGTTGCTCCTTGAGCTATGGCTTGGAAAACATTCAAGGCCCAATTCTCCCGATGACCATTTCCATGTACGGACTGTTCCGTGCTTCTCCATTCCTGTGTAGCTGGTACATCTCCAAGTTTCCTCTCCAAGTTAGTGCTAGAGGAAGGTTAACCAGTCACAGCAATTCAGCATCTGGTTGATGTGCTTTAATATACAAATGAGTCAGGTTTTCAAACCTAGTCTCACAACTGAGAAGTTTTGCTTTGTGGGTTTAGGCACATTTTTTTCTTCCTAAGGAGAAGAAAGGCTCTGTGGGAGCATTTTGAAAATCTCAGCCCACTGAACTACTACCTTCTGTAGGGAAGTGTTAATACTTGCATTTCAGATACAAGTAGATAAAGTGCAATGCTGCACTTCTTTCTTCACTTTGCCTGCAAAATATATTTTCTCCTATTTAAAACTCATCAGGTTGCTGTTGCTTACAACTGACAGTGTTTTTGATGTCATCAGTTGTGGGAAATTGAAATTTCAGGAGAGAAGAGGAAATACTGGATAAAAATGTACATTCTGTTCAATTTCTGCAGTTTTTGGACTGAAAAGGGTTGGAAACTGGGCTCATTTGAAAAGCTTTTGAGACAATGAGTTTATAAAAGGACATTTGTTCATTACTTTATAGGGAAGTGAGAGCCTGGGAACCTACTCCTGGCACACTTGACTTTTTTTCATTTTTGCTGTTTCAGTCCACTAATAACACATTATTTTCTGACTACTGGCTTACTGCATGTAGAAGATACTTTACAGTGTTAATGAAGGATATTATATCATTATTAATATAATGATATAATATATACTACAAATATAATTAATAATAATAAATAAATTATTAAATTATTATTAAATACTATTAAATACTCATCTGCTTTGATAGCAGGCACTTAAAAATAATTTATGCATTTGGTGAAGAAGACGGGGACTAGCAAAAAAAGGCCTTATTGCCAGCTTGAGGAAACCCAGAGGAAGAAAGTGGGAGAAAAGGGCTGATCTCCCTGATGTGGTTGAGAGGACCAAGCTGAAGGCTGAGAAATGCAAGAGAAGTGCAGCCTGTTCCCTGTGCAGCCGTCACAGATTTCCCCAATTCCTGGCTTTGATTTGTGGGTGTTAAATGAGTAAACCTGGGAGCTGACTCTCTTGTTTGTCACCAGCCTCACCACATATCACGAAACTCCTCCTGCATTTCCAGGCTTTTTGCCTGCTCCATCCTGTCCTCTCCTCCTCCTCCTCGCTGCCAGATGCCTGCATGAAGGACAACACATTCTTCAGTTCCCTGTTGCAGAATGCTCCTTATAATGCCACTGAAGGAAAAAACATTCCTCACTGCTTGGGTGACATACCCTCCTTCTCCTTACCACCTCCCTGGGCACTAACCTTTCCTGCACTATAACCCTATAAAAAGCTCTTGTCCTAAATCCCTTCTCAGTTTCTTCATTTTTCTGTCCATGAGGTGCAATAGCTCTATGAAACATCAGATTCTTGTTGTTTTCTTTTGTGCTTCTCTTCTTTCCCCTTCATGATGTCCATTTTCTCTAGCGTCACCCTGCAAAACAGATTCCACCAGCTCCCCTCCCTTCTGTGAATTTCTTGCTCATGCCACCATAGCTGAGCTCTCAGTGGGTGTCTGATCTGGTCCTCCCCAAAGGCAGGGAGACACTTCCACTTCTTTGAGCTGGCTCAACACAAGAGTAGTAGGATGAAGGTAGTAGTAGGATGCCAACTGTAGGTTTTTGTGACTGTCCTTTACACCAGCCATCACGTGTTACATGTGAACAAATGTCCTGCTGGAACACTCATTTTCTTCATTTCACGCTTTAGAGTTACATGAAAACTTCCAGCTCCTCTAATAACCCTGCCAGGATAAAGCTGGAGAGCCTGCAGCTGCACCATGTGTGGGTCTGGGAACCCGGAAGACCCAAGGAGCTGGGCTCTGGTTTTGGCCCATTATCTACAGTTGTCATGACAGCTTGGAGACAGCAGCTGTACCAACACATTGGGACATATTTTTGTCAAATGGATTAGTGGCAAGGGAATAACATATGGGCAGCACCTTCTAACACCCACATCTGGCATTTCTCAGGGGTGTTGCACTTCAAAGGGAAGCCAGCATTTTATTTTCCCTGACTGATGCCTGGTAAGGTTCATCTGAATCTTGCAGATAGCCATGAAATTGTTGGCAGATCACATTGGTGCAGTCCCTGAAATATGCCAGCTGCTTCTTTCCAGCTTAGGTTTCTCCCAGCTATGGGCAGAGATGGAGAAGCAGCCAGATTTAGTCCTCAAATGCCTTTGGGTTTGTGGCTAAATACGGGCAAGCTTTGTGGGTTCAGAGGGATTAGTGTCTTTTGTCATGTTTTGTTCCTACATTGCTGTGGTTCCAGTCTTCCTGTTCCACACATGACCTAGAACAAAATACTATGGATAGTTAGAGGTCTTTGGTCTGCCTTGCTCCCAACCTTCTGCCCAAAGCAGGGGAAGAGGAACTACCTGAAAAACAAGATCAATTAATCCAGCAGCTTAGTTCCACCTGGTTTCTCAGCAGAAAGGCTTTTGTCACAGCAGAGCTGTACTTGGCTGCTGCTGTAATTGTGCTGGGGCTTTTTTTTTAGGTTGGGGGCTTGGTGCTATCTCCCATGTAGAGATTTTTTGTAATAAAATGGACCCAAGCGGTCAGTATGCTTTTCACTGGTAGCATTACCGGTAGGTAGCACTGCAAGGAATGTTTTCTTCTGCTACTGACTGCCAGTCACTGATGAAAGGTCCCACTTTCTGTGTCAATTCCTCTCTCCAGGTCTGCTGATGTTCGCCATCACACACATCCTGTACTCCTCAGCCTTTGGGATGAAGCCTTTGGACCTCAAAGCCGGCTTGCTGATGGGCGTTGTTTCCAGTTCCTGCTATGCCTTCCTCTACTCCTACCTCTCGGGTCCGTTCACCTACCTGGTGGCCGTCTACATCGCCCTGATCGGCTTCATGGGCTGGCGGGCGGTGGCGGGCGTGCAGCTGTGCAATGACCTGTGGACATGGACCAAGCTGTCGGCCTGTGTGGGCGCCATGCTCTTCATGGTGTCGGACCTCACCATCGCGCTCAACAAGTTCTGCTTCCCCGTGCCCTACTCGCGCTTCATCATCATGGCCACCTACTACGCGGCCCAAATGCTGATTGCGCTGTCGGCCGTAGAGACCAGAGATGAAGAGGACTTCAGGAAGAGGAGCTAGGTGGAGTGCCATAGTCTGTGAACACATGGGTTATATCTCAGGTGCTGTAGCTGCATTCACCCCTGAGAGAGATCTCCATTTCTCTAGGCACACTGGTGATGTTGATTTTGCTTCTTTGAAGCATTACTTTTGGGAATTACATTTTTTTTTCATTGGCTTTCTCTGAATACAGCTTACTTCAGTGTGGAGTCCACATCAGAAAGCTTAGACTGTCCCTGCAGTAGTTACTCATTCAACTTTTCTTCTCTGGAAGTGCTGTACTACTGCATTTTACTTGTTAGTCTTGAAATGGATGCTGAATGTCTGGGAAGAGGAGGGCTGGTGGAAAGGAGGTTTGGCCATGCACTGTGCTAAAAGGCCTGTCCTCAACTGTAGGCAGACAGGCACAGATCTCTGCTAAAGTCATAGGTAAAAATTAATTTAACTGACGTTTGTCTCTTTTTGTGCATTACAAACTCAGTATGCAAACTGGAGCTATTTCTCTGCTGAAAGGAAGCTTGGAGGGAGAGTAAAAACAGCATATCCAGCTGGGAGCTGAGCTCTGGAGTCAATGGCAGCATGTGGGACAGTACCCAGCAGAACCTGCATGAGAGCAGAACCCCAAGCTGAGGGCACAGAGCAAGAGGTGTGCTGGCAGTGCTGTGTGCTTTGATTGCAGTGATCACTGCTCCAGGGCAGATCTCTAGGTACAAGTCAGCATTGCTGCGTGTGGCAGAACTGTAGAGAGCAAGAGTTTGGTGGGATTTCAGGGACATCTCAGTAGCCAGGCCAGCGTGTTCTCCCTTGCCACATGCATGCAGTTATGTGGTGCTTGCAGCCACCAATGAAATGTAATGGGCACACAAGGAGCTTGGATTTTTAAAGCAGAACTTACTCATTGTCTTACTTAGTGTATGCCCTAATTACCCTTAGTATGGCAGACAGGCATCTAATCTTTATGCCTTTTTTCTCCGATGTCCTAACAAGTAATATTCCATGTACCCATTGAGTTTTAGTAGCATTTCAGTAGTACTTTTAGTACTGCTGCCTGCAGTATCTTGAATCTTTGTATGAGCATTTCCTGTGATCAAGGCCCTCATTTTGGATGCAGATTGCCATGTTTTGCCAGCTGGTTTTTTTTTTTTTTTTTTTTGATTTTCAGAAAGCCCCTTTTGAGCAGAGCTTCCTGAAAAGCACTGTCCTTCATGTTCAACACCCCTGCCACTTCCTTCTCAAACTCACATGGACTCCCATAGAACCCTGCTAACTTCTCCTTTGTGCTGAGAGGTGCTGAGTGGGTCTCCTGCTCCTCTCCAGCCTCACCTGGTGTGCCTGGCAGAGAATAGGCATTGCCTCCCCATGACTTTTGCATCAGTGCAAATGCAGCCAGTATTACAGGAATCTGGGTTAACCATCCTGACCCCGTGGGGGCATCTGCTGTGTGTCAGACAGGGATCAGAAAGGTCAGCTGCATTATGGAGAGGGAAAGCATTGTAGGTAGCACAGCCCTGTGTAATCCCTTCCCTTTAATGCTGTTATGTAATACTGTCAGTATTCATTCACTGGCACATCAGGGCCTGCCTGGAGTAAACAGCTAAGGGAATTTAGAGCCATAAACCATTTTCATTCATCAGCATTGCTTATCTCTTGGCCACAGATTGAACCCTGCAGTGTAGCTCTCTGCAGATGTCACCTGCTGTTACTCAGCTTGGCTGTTTGCAAATCTCCTCCTGCAACAGTGACCCAGCTAAGAGGAAGTCTTAGCATTTGAGGTGAGCCCCACCATCTTCCCAGCATGTGAGCGAACAGCACACTGCAGTCTTTGAGTCCCAGCTCTTTGGCATGGGTCAGTCCAGCACACTCAGTTCTTAGCTGGCAGTTCTTCAGAGGAGCTCCCCCACATCCTGAGCTTTCCTTTGCTTTGAGGGAAATGCTTGTGTGATAAAGTAAGCTTTATTTAGAAGTCTTGAGTTTTGATTCTCTTTTTTTCTTCTCTAGAAATGAGTAGTCTTAAACTGCCTGGAAATATATGAGTTGCTTTTCTGTGTGCTTTTTCTTCTTGGCTTGCCTTGCTGGCCTGCTCTTCCATCAGCCACTGGATACTTGCAGAAAAGAGTCCTTATGTGTTATTAGGAGGCCTCTCCACTGGCCATCAGAGGTGCAGTTTCTGGTGGCAGAGGTCCCTGGGTGGGACAGCAGAAACCTGTGCAGGCCAAGTGGGCTGTTGTTCCTTTGATGTCCTGGAACAGGTCACCTGGAGTGACCTGGCTGGGACACATTGGCCAGTCACACTGGCTCCATCCCAGGGCTGTGACAGCTTCAGCCTTCCTGGGAACATGAGGCAGAGCCCTCAGCATACAAAGGAGAGTCCTGGTTGGCTTGGAGGTTTGCTGGAAAAGGCTCTTAATCTTCAAAATCTCTCTCTGGTTCTGCATTCCTTTTTCTAATCCATGTTACTTGAATGAGACCATTTTCCTGGAGGCTCTTTCCTCCTGGGAAGAGACCAGCTGCTGTGGATTGTGATCTGACACAATTTTGAGATGCCTAAATCCTAAGAAGCCCTAAGCAGTTGTTGGCAGTCTGTTAAATAACTTTTCTTGGGATTAAAACTGTTCCCTCAATCCCAGTGAGGGAAATCTTCACTTTGAAATAGAGCAAAAAATAAAGGAGTGGAGTTCATATGTGACAAATGGTGGTACTGTCTGTGGGGCTGCCTTTGTGGACCCTCCTGTTGCCTCTTTGCACTCAGTAAAACTGAGGTTCAATCCATTCTTCTCCTTTTCAGGAGTACAGTCCTTGAGAAGCACCCAAACTTTGGCCCAGGAACATGACAGAGGGAATGAAGCCTTCCAGGTGGTATAGTGTTCCTAGCCCCACCAGCAGCAGCAGCTCCTTTTTGTTGCTAAGTACAGAGGCTTTCTTTTCACACTGCTGTGCCCAAACATCCTTCTGCAATCCCTGTCTATGGTCACTTGAGCTTACATGCGTGGTTTGGTTACTTTCTGCAGTTACCACCCTCTTGGAGGTCCTTTGGCTCTTTAATTAGATATATAAAAGATACAGCACGTTTACTTCAGCCTCTTTCTGCAGGCAGAACTCCCAGGGTCAGTCAAAGAAGCCGTGCTAATTGCAACTCATTTTTAAGCGCTAGTAAATGCTTCTGGGCTGTGTCACAGTGTGATGCTCATGTAGAAGAGGCACGTCAAGGAGAACAAAGCCAGAGGATTTTAACTTTTAAGCTTTACTCTTACTCTGTTCTGAATACCTGGCTTCCTACTCCTCCCTATTGAGGCCTCTTTAAGACAACTGGTTTAAGAGTGGCTAACATGGCTTTTGAGTAGATTGCTGAAGGTTTCATGTTATCATCAGTGGAGGTAATTTATATATTTTTACACAAGTTTATAAAATTCTGGAGGAACTTAGCAGTTTTTAGTGGCTCTTCAAAGTTTTTCAGTCCTGTAGTTTGACACTAACACCTGCATTTTCATCTTGCAATCGTGGTATTTTTGGGAGCTGTTCTGGAAGAAGCAGATCTAAGCAAACAGCAACTGTAGAGCTTAGTAGTAGGTGCCTCTTTGCTTCGTTTCTGGATACAGACGGGGGTCTTTTAAGCAGAGTCATCATAACTGTGTTCTTGGAAGAGGATGGGAAGTTGCTGACTTCTCATGACAGAAATCCTCCTGGGTAATTCTGCGTTTTATCCATGCTCGCTCCTTTTGTGGCCTTGGGTGAGTCACTTAAATTTTCAGGGGCCAGGTCCACATCTGGTGTATGAAGGCCAGTGCAATGCCAAATTATCCCAGCAGGGGACCAGGCCTTCACCCCATTCTAAAATGGAGATATTAGCCCTTACCTACCTCACAAGGATATCGTGAGGATTGATGCTCATACAGCACTTTGAAGATGTCAAATGCTATGTAAGTCACAAATATTACTCAACTTTAATGTTAAAATTACTATTAGGTATCTGCAGAACTTCTTTTAAAGGACAGAATGTGTGACTGCCTTTTCAATTTGCATCAGATAGAAAAAAAATGCAAAATATTTATTCATCCTGGTTAACAGAATGGGTTCAGCTCCACTTGAACTCTGAGGGAGGTTTAGCTTAAGAATCTGAACTCTCTAATTTCAGTTTTGAAAATGGTTTTTAATTCTTTTAAAAGCTTTGGCCAAATTCTTAGATGTGAACCTTGCATCCACTTTTGCAGTATTGTCTTGTCCCTCACTGTTAGCTGGAGTACATATAATCCAGCCAAAACAGAGTACCTCACTGTCTGCTGTGGCTTTTGAAAAAGCTGGAGCAGAAAATGAAGTAATTCTTAAACCTTCAGTGTGCAGAAGGTCAGCTGGGTTTCATGAGACAGCTTTCAAAGGGATGTTTAATTTCTCTGATTGTAAGTTTTACTGACTTTAAAATCAGCAGAGAGAGAAAGCCTTGATGGAATCAATAAGGTTGGCACATCCTTCTTGAATTCCTTTCTTTTCACCTGAATCAAGAAAGCAGTGGGTTTTGTAGCAAAGGAAGTGCTTGTACCACCAGTCCTATGGCCCAGAACAAAAGTCGAACTAGAAATACAGCTCTCAGCCATCACCATGTTCTCAACTAGGATAAAAATGCCACTGTTCACTGATCTAAATCTGGACCACAGCTAGAAACTACCTAGTTTTTGTAGCACTAGCTGCTGTACAAACACAAATGAAGGCAAGGAATTACAGACCAAGGAATGTGAGCTGTGGACATGTGAAATGGACCATAATTTTGAAGCAGCTGCAGTAAAATCTTAATATGAACTCAGAAGCAAACACAATGCAAATTTTTATGGTTTCTTTAAAATATTTGATAGGTTTTAATTTTCTTAGTTTGGAGAAAATTTTCTTAACGTTATTTTATTTTTGCTCTTACTGTAAAGAATAAAAATATACAACTCTAGACAGACTACAAATGAAAAAAAAAGGTGGCCAGTTGGCAGGAATGCCAAAACTTCTGTGGCTTGTATTGTTTTGGTGGTGACACTGTGCTGCTGTTGGGTGAGCTACTGGAGAGGTGTGATGGCTCAAAAGTGAGGCTGAAGCACAGGATGCAGGGCTTGAGCACCAAGACTTCAGTGGGAACATGATTGGGCCAATTTGAATTGGTCTGAAGACAGGGCATAAGGAAGTCAAAGTCACCTTTTCCTG